CTTTCATTTCTAAAGTTTCAGTGAATACCTGGACTTTCAGTGAGTTGGTCCGCTAGTTGGATTTCTATTCTGCCTATAGCAGCCTAGGGAGAAAATACTGTGTAGTATCATCAGCCTTCGTACTATAATTTTGACCTATGATCTGGTACTTGAGAGATCTGACCCAACTAACTAAGTGAGTTATCAGCTTTAATTAATTGTGAATATCAGACAGACTCTGTAACACTAAACTAATGTCAAGTCAGTGCTTCTATATGGTATGGAGACTTGACATGCCCGTTAACAAAAGCATTTCCAACCGCTTTCTAAAGGCTTTCATCAACAGCTCCCTTCACTGGCTCCGTACTAAAAATCAGATGGCCAGCCAGAAAGGATTATTAACATGGAACTCTAGAGACGAAGCAGCATATGTGCCGGAAAAAATGGAGGTGGACTGAATATACGCTGAGGAGACCGTTGAGTGACAAAATGTGCCAGGCGGTCATTCGAGGTGAACGCGAATGGGAAACCATGAGTTGGATGTGATTCCAGTGGTGATATGGAGAAGATCATGACAGGGGGAAATGAAAACTAATGAGCGATTGTAGAAACAGCTAAAAAGGAGTGCGAAGAATAAGAGGGGGGGGAGGAAGAATGGCAATATGCTACTGTAGCTCTATATTCCACTAAGAGAATACGAATAATGATAATAAAAAGATGATAGAGTATCGGTAAGATCTCAATAATACTTGTACATTTTTGATTGCACACTAGTCAGTAACTAGTGTAATGCGTCTAGTCCTATCTTCGGTGCAGACTGAATTCTACCAGTCATGTTTGCAATGTGGCCACCATGCTAGGTGGCTCGCCATTACGGTGCACTGTGAATTGTTGGTATTAGATGGTTGCCGATTGCCTCCAACCATCTAATACCAACAATTCACAGTGCACCGTAATGGCGAGCCACCTAGCATGGTGGCCACATTGCAAACATGACTGGTAGAATTCAGTCTGCACCGAAGATAGGACTAGACGCATTACACTAGTTACTGACTAGTGTGCAATCAAAAATATCCTATACAGTCCTACAGGAGGTCAGTCGCGAGCCTGAATAGCTCAGTGGTAACGTCTCTGACTGCAGCACTGGGTGACGCGGGTTCGAATCTCAGAAGGGACATCAGTTCCTTCAAGGTTGCAGATGCGCCTTGCTGATGAGTGCCAACTAGCACGAAACCTAGGTCAAGCAAGGCTTCCTGTGGCCGATTGCCTCCAACCATCTAATACTTGTACATTTCTCGATTTTAATTTCCTTCTTAAAAATAAAATAATATCATCATGGCTGAGGATAATTATATACCTTTTCTTACTGAGTGAGATACGGCTAGTGATTGATGACTCAAACTCCTTATCCTCATACCCTTGATTTTACTCCATCAACTCCATCTTTTACACACTCACTTTGTGTGCGTGATAAATTCTCGCTGGTTTTTTCCCCTGTGTTTTTCCATTACTGTTCAGGTTGATAGTTCTTTTTCATTACTTTACTTATTTTTATAGTTTGCTTTGTCTGTTCTTCATCCACCCAGTGTACCTCTTTCCACCACCACCCTATTCTCTGAGTAGTTTTTTTTGACAGCGATTTAAACTACTTGACTTTTTACCATTTAAGTAGTATAGTCCATATTCCAGCATATATATATGTATATCTTAAGTCAGTTAATTAGACAGTCAGTCAGTCAGTGAGTTAGGCAGCCAGCCATTCACTACATTTTTCCACATTGGGCTTTTTCTCTCCAGATTGATTGGCATATATATATGCATATATATGTTTGGTTGAAACAGTAATAAGAGGCTGAGAGTTGTAGTATTCACGAATTCGTACGTGCGTACGCACCTACACTCGTGTGTATGTGGTGTGTGTGTGTGAATGGGTCGGTGGGTGTCTGGCTTTACAAGTGTGTGCCTGTCTACAAAAATTCAAGAAGCTATTTTAATGCAAGATGGATAGGTAATTGACAGATATACATATTAGAAGTTCTCCTACTTTTTTTTCCCTTGCATTTGACTGAGTTTGCGTGTTTCATTTTAAAGTATAATCATAATCATAGTAATAGTAGTAATAATTAATATGGTGGAAGTAGTAGGTTTTTCCTTTCCACCACTTTTCCCACTTGACTTATCTCAAACGCCTTTCAGAAGTGATCAGTGCGTATATATATTCGTGTTTGTATGTTTGTGTATGTGTGTTTATGAATAGGTGAATGGATGGCTTTGTTTTGGATTGTTTTAATGACCAGTTCATTGTTCATTGAGATTGAAGGCATGAGAACTTTTTGAAAAATAATCAACTTTTAAGTGTTTGTTTCCATGGTTTTGGTCGTTTTTAAGATAGATCACCAACTCTTTGACAGTATGCACAAACCAGGGTTCGAACTGAGGACCTTCCGGCTACTGTTGCAGTCCGTTGACCATTCATCCACTAGGACCTGATATAGTGGTGTTGAAATTCATCGACCACGGGATCAGATCCTAGTGGCTGGATGGTCTACGAGCTTGTCATTTGACTGGAAGTTCCCTGGGTTGGAACAGCGGTGGGTGCGTGCTGAAAGAAGAGTCCCAAACTAGGACGAAACAGCTGTTTAGTACTCCCTGATGGCTTTCCAATGGTTCTCTAACTGATGTCATTTCATGAATAATCTTGGAGTTAACTTTTACTATTCTACTTTCTCAGAGTAAGAAAATAATAAGGAAATAAATGAAGATATACTATGCTTAGTCATTTTAATAGTTCTCTTTCCATTCTTTTGTGTGGCTAACCTCACGTCCAACTTTCCTCCTCTTATTCTTGGGTTACTTTTGATTATTAAACTAGGCGAGGCTTAGAAGTGAAGGCCAGGGATTGACCCCTTGGTCATGTGCATAGTTGACGAACATTGTACAGGTGAATCTACCATCTATTTTATGAGTAAACAGGATCAATAGGTCAATCAGTCAGTTAACGATATAGTATTAGGCCAGTGAGTGGAAATATAACCTCTGAGTGGGATTCAGATATGATGAATTCGTCATTGATATATGAACAGAACTTCTACATTCCATTGATAAAGTTTCAAACACAATATATATATATATATTACATATTTCAAGACGCTCACTCATATAACTATGGGTTACTTATTTATTTTTTTTCCTTCACGTTCCCCAGTGGAACATAGGGCTTCAAGCTAGTGGCTTGAAGTTTCTGTAGCAGTGTTTATTTTACAGGAAGGGGTTGCTAGCCTCATGCACAACCTTTCCTCTTCACCAGCATTATTTCTGGCTTAGCGAGGTAAAGGAGTGCGTCTGTGGCCGGGGATCATTCAATGTGCGTCGAAATGGAACCCCGGACTATGTGCATGGTCGGCGAGCATCCTAACCGCTATACCACCGACGCACTTATTTATTTATACGGTTCCATAATTTCTTTTCCTTTGATTTTAATTGATATTGTTTCATTCCTAGTGTAAGTGTTTGATATGGATTCAGTGAACAAGGGTCCGGTGACGGACCTCCCTCTCTCTTTCTCTCCCCATCTGACAACATTAATTTTTAATACTTTTATGCCTTCCCTCCATTTTTGTTGTGATTACATACAAGTGAATGCAGTGCAATGGTCGCATTTTTTTGTAAATTACTTAGCTTAGTCGAGTCAATCATTTTAGCTCTAGGTAACCGCCTGATATTCTGATAACTTGACTAACCACACTCTACCAGTTTAACACATGTAATTGACCCCACAATCGTTACATGATATCTGGCAAGTCATATCATTTCCCTTATTTGAATCTGTCGAGGCTTCAAGTCGAGTTGGTTCAAACACCACTCTAATTCCAGCCTTATTAAGAATCTTACTAAAGGTCTCATCCAGTCATTATTAATGTATCGCTTTTGATTTTATTACAAATAAATCTAACTAATAGGTGGATTAGTTTGTTGTTGGCAAGTTGAAATCAATAGGAGGCCTCATATTAGGGCTTCTCGCCGGTTACCATCCGTCACTATCATCATCATCATGATGATCCATTCAGGGTTCCAACGTGTGTCAACCAGTACCTAAGTCACTGAGTTCATCAGCGAGCTTTTCTGGACATGGCTGATATACTACACAAGTAAATAGTGGACACTGATTGTTCTTTGAAAGTTGTTCGATAAAATATTTGTTGATTCTAAAAGGAACAGCGTATTTTCCCGAGAAAATGAGGGATATTCATTTGTAGGCGGTAAAACTCGAGAAGAAAATTATCGATCTTCTATATACACTCACAGTATGCCCTACTTGTCCAAAGTAAACACATGCATACGCACAAAAAATGACTCACTAAATATATTTCTATCATTATTATTGTTATTATTATTATTACAATGATTTGTCAATGGCTTTCCCAGTGGAACTGAATTCTTTTTCGAACATCCACATTGTATTCGGTTCACTAATGTCTTTTTTGGCTAGCACCATGACTTTCCAAATACCGTCGAACCCACAGGACATTCAGTTACACTAAGGATCATCAGGAAAGACACTCCCGTTATTCTTGAATAATCTTAACACAAAACTCACTTCATCCTGAGGTAATAACTGATGACGTTGTTGTAGAAGGATAATCAATCATACCTTCTCAATGAAAACATTCGATCCAGTTCAGAGAATACAACTACAATTAAATGAAAGGCGTCGGTGGCATAGCAGTTAGTACGCTCGCCGACCATGCACATGGTCCGATGTTCGATTCCCGGCCACAGGACGCACTCCTTCACCTCGCTAAGCCAGAAATAATGCTGGTGAAGAGGAAAGGTTGGACATGAGGTTAGCAACCCCATCCTGTAAAATAAACACTGCTGAAGAAACTTCAAGCCGCTAGCTTGGGGCCCTCTGTTCCACTGGGGAACTTGAAGGAAAAAAAATGGACCTGCAAAAAATTTCATAGTTTTCAAGATACCTTTTTATAGCACTTTATTAAAGCATTTTTCTTTTCTTCTTGTAGATATCGCCTAACAACAAAAATATTTCCCTTCCTTCATAAATTATCCTCAAAAACATTGGTAGACAAGCAAACATCCAATCAATCAATCAATCGATAAATCAATAAATCAAAAGTTATCTGTCCATCACGAATTCTTTTTAAAAAAATGAGGATTATCCTTACAATATTTTTGGAAATTCTCATTTTGTTTAAAACACCCGGCATTGTAAATGGCGCCAGTCATAATGTTCAACAGTTCAATAAACATGTCAATCATAATAATAATCGTCATATTCAAATATTTAATCATGAGAATGATATGACTGATTCTATACCACTATAAATACTTCATCCTTTTTGAAACGTATGAAACGATCAAGTTTACAAAATGCCGGTGTAAGCAGCGGTAGTAGTAGTAGTAGTAGGGAAAATTCAATGAATTCGAATCATCATCTCATGTCCGGTCCATCGGCATCATCTTCGTCAGCTTCGTCTGCATCCTCCTCGTCATCAGTCTCATCGTCATCTTTATCCTCAGGCTACCATCAAGCCATTTCAGGTCAATCTTTACTCAATGCTAACGATAATGATAAGGTACTTCGACCAGAGAAATGTATTCCAATTGAAATACCATTGTGTAAAAATATCGGTTATAATTTAACCTATATGCCGAATGCATTCAATCATGAAACGCAAGAAGAAGCAGGTTTAGAGGTGAGTTCACTGTGTGTATAACATTGTATAACATATATTGAAATCTTCCTCTCCCAGAGATGGCGTGTTATACCTAGATTTACAGATAACTAATAATAATAATTTGCTTCATTTCAAAACAGTACTTGTGATACAGAATGGAATTCTCAGCATTTCTACTACAGCATTGCATCCAGTTAGTACATTATCAATAAATAGAATTCTACATAGATTGAGGAAACCACAGTTCATTATTACAACAATACACTGGCATGTCAGTAGCAAAGATAAAGCTGAAACAGTGTTTGAAGGTGTTAGAAAAGTGAGAGCTGTCTTATTAACTGGCGTAAGCGAGAGAAAGAGACAAAGCAACACATAACGGAAAAGGAAGAGAGAGAAAAGGAAAAGAAAGAAAGAAAATTTTGTACCTATAAATGATATGAGTTGGAAAGACGAGATCCAGTTGTACTACTGACTATTTAATGAATTATAGGTGTCACGCCTAATGCTTTCTTTATCACACAGAACACGAGCTAAGTAGGGTATGGTTGATTTTTTGTACTTGCTGGTGCGAGCATATAGTTTTCTATATAGGCTTCTGGTTTTACCTGATGAGATGCAGGGGGATAGTTGTGAGTGAAGAGGGTGGTGTGAGTTAGACAAAATGGATTTGGCCCATTTTTCACATGAGTCCATTTGCCTGTCAACCAGAATATTAACAACAAGCTGGTTAAGTGGCACGTTGCTTACCCTGCTGACAACCTTTAACATCCTGCGTAATATGTTATAGTCTTTCTTCAGTAGCCCGGGAAAAACTAAGGGGAACAATAGAGAATAATAGGCAGGATGCGAGGGGGGGGGGGAATTGCTCACCATCCACACACATGTGGTCATGGTTCGATTCCTGTCCGACGCACACCTAAACGTCTCTTAGCCTATAATAAAACCAAGAAAACACGGAAAGTTAGGTGTGGGACTGTGGCAACCACATCCCGTAAGAACGATACCTTGCGTTACTGAAACCTCAAGGTTTCAAGACCTGAAACCCAATGTTCCACTCAGAACACAAATGAATGGAAAAATCTGATTGCACGTCTATACACGTTATAATATACATTCATGTGTATTACTTCAGTGCACATATCTGTCATGAGTTTCATGACACATACACACACGCAGATACGAAATAGGCTATATGCTTGAAAACAAACACTCAGAAAATTGTGAACCTGTTGTTACTTGTGAATATAGGCAAATGTATAACCTCGAGCTCTATTCATTGAGTGCACAAGTTTACAAATATTACCAGTGAGTTAAATGTGAGACAGTATTTGACTTTTTGCGTGACTGTCAGCAGGGTATAATTATAAAGTCATTTTGTCTAGTGCTTAGTGGTAGGTAACTGAAGTCTTCAATGGAAACGTCTCTAACTGGGTTTAGATGATTCGAGAGGAAATCAGTCCTTCCAGTATTTCAACGACAACCTGACCAATGTTGACGAAGCTGGAACCTAAATTCATGGTTTCCTGATGTTTTCAATTTCTGTTGTTGTCACTAACCAACAGTAATCCAAATCCCCAAAAATCACACAATTTGAATACTAATCTCCAGCTTATTGATGGCTATTAGATTTATTATTATTTATTATAATTATTTCCTTTAATTCCTAGAGGAACATAGGGCTTCAGCCGTGCGTCTCCATCGCGTTCTGTTCACTGCTAGAATCTTCACCTGGCTCCAAGTCTGCCCAGACGTTTTCAACTCCTCTTCGCATCACCTCCTCCAAGTCACCCTCGCATTGATGACTAACTCACCACTTCCCTTTCGGGTTCCACTCGAGGGCCTATCTTGTGATGTCACTTGATGGTTTCCTCAGAGTATGGCCAATCCACCTCCAAATCTTCCTGCCTATTTATTTTACAATCGGTTCGTGATGGGTTGGTTCGCTGATTGCCAGAGATCTCTGTTGCTGATCTCTTCTGGCCAGTCATCTAATCTTGAGTATTGAGCGAAGACAACCGTTAATGAAGGTCTGTAGTTTGTTTGAGATGCTCTTTATGACGCTCAGTGCAAGTCTCTGATCCGTATAGTGAGTAGCACTGACTGACTTCACATTGGAGTTGAAAATTCGGATGTTATTTTTGATGTTGAATGCTGTTGACCTCCACACAGACTTGAGAGTAGTGAAAGCTTGTCTTGCTTTTCCGATTCTTGCTTTGATATCCTCGTCAGTTCCGTTCGCCTGTAGTTGAAATGATGCTTCCCAGTTAGGTGGAAGAGGAGGTTGTTTCTTTCAGGTTCCTCCCATTTATGCTGATTGTTGTTGGGGGTGTTGCCCGGGAATTTTCATCAACTCTGTTTTCTCTATGTTCACCTGAAGTCTTATCTTCTCTGGATGCTTCTTCTGCCAATTTGTTGCTTTTCGCTTGCATATCTTCCAGTTTGTGGGAAATCAGACATAGATCATCGGCATAGTCCAGATCCTCCAAGTTTTTTTGTGTGGTTCCATTTCATGCCTGTCTCCTCGTTGCCCACTAATTGTCTGTCGCACTATCCAGTCTACTGCAATCAAGAAAATCATTGGCGATAGTAGGCAGCCAGTTTGTATTACTCCTGTTCTCACTTCAAAGAATTCCGTAAGTTTCTTGTTGTGGATCACTTGGGATACCCTAAAGCTATGTGCTCAGAAGTCGTGATCAGTGGGGTCCACCGAGTTTGACCCCTGTTAGGGTCACAGGTGCGCACTGCTTACTGATGAGTTCCAAAATAGGTGTCCAGTGGTCCCCTGGTTTTCAATGACCTGCCTGCATGATGTTCGTTCGTAATGAAATCTGACGACTCACATCAAGTCAATTCACATCCTCCACAAATCCCACAATCTAAATTCTTAATGTTTGTCCCCAGTCGTTACAATAGTGAGTCTCCTATCCCAATTCAGTCGACACTAGGCAACTACTAGGTAATTATCATATTATTATTTTTCCCTTGGGTTCCGAGCAGAGTGTGAGGCTTTGACAGCACGTTTCCACTTTGTTCTACTTTCTTCAATCCTCTTTAGCTGACGCTACGTACGATCTCCCATAATCTCCGATCTTCTCCTCACACGATCTCCTCCATGTCATCATCGGATACACACCCAACTAGTCGTTTCATATTCGGGTTCCACTAGAGCAAAGGCTTAGAGTGCTTAGAGTGTCACTCAGTGGTCTCCTCAGTGTGTGCTCATTACATCTCCATTTCTTTCGACTTACTCGCTGAGCAATCGGTTCTTGATTGGTTCGTTCCCAGAGTTTTTTGTTTCCAATTTTTTCTGGCCATTTGATCATTAATATACAGCCAGCGAAGACGACTGCTGATAGAATTCTGCATTAACCTGTTTGAAACGCTCTTCGTAACGCGTGTCAAATTTCTGACACACACACACACACAGAAGAAGTGACTGACTTAACATTAGTGTTGAAAATCCTAATCTTGTTGTTTATGCTGCAGAGTGCAGAAGATTTCAGAAGCGATTTCATGGTGATGAAGACGTACCTTGCCTTTTACAATTCTGGTCAGCTTTAACACCTTCATCTGTTCCCCCTGTTAATGAAATGCTTCTTCCAGTATAAGTGAAGCAAGTAACCTCTTTCAAAGCTCTCCAGTTTTAAAGTGACTGGTACTGGTTGTTGTTGGTTGGTTATCTTCATCACCTCCATCTTCTCTATGTTCACCTGGAGTCCTGTCTTCACTAACTGCTTCTTCTGCCAGTTTGTTAGTTTTCGTCTTTAAGTCTTGGAGTTTATATGAAATTACACATAAATCATTATAACATTTTTACTTCTTGATAATTAATATATCTACACACATACGCGCATAATAATGAACTCCGAATTGAAAACCAGAGAATACTGAACAGCTGTTTCATCCTTATTTGGAACTCTACAGCATTAAGCTCATATAATTGCACTGGGGATCGGACACAGGACCTTCTATTCACAAGGTGAGTCCACTGACCATTCATACACTGGAATAAAACCCAGTAACTGATGACTTTCAACATCTGACAAGCTTGCCATGTATAACTCCACTGTCATTCGACGTCATCGTTGATTATCTATCCTTAGACCCAGTGGCCAGTGGGACGTCCAAGGGTGACATGGGGGAGATCGTGTGATGAGGAACTGAAACAGTATGGATTAACATGGATGCAAGTGAAAAGTACAGCACAAGACAGAAGCAAGTGGAGACGTGCAGTTGAAGCCCTATATTCCACTGGGAACCCAAGGGAACAATAATAATAATAATATAGACCCGACTTAGTATACCTTACTAGTCATGATTTCCCACTAGAACTTCAGGTGGCTTCACCCCATATTCAATTACTAGTGGCCAGAAAGCAGAATTTCATTCCGGTAGCTGAATGATCAACCTGAAGGTCCTAAGTTCAACCCCTGACAGGGTTATGGATGTATCCTGGTGAAATGTCCCAAACTTGAAGAAAACATCTGTCTGTAGTACTCCATCCCTGGTTTCCATGGTTTCCGTTAAATTACAAAGATAATAATTATTCCTATAGTTCTGTTGGAACCAGAAGATCCTGGGTTCGAACACCGGTGGATGCGTACTGCCGATGATTCCTAAACTAGGACGAAACAGCTGTCCAGTACTCTCTGTGCCTGGTTTTCAATAGTTCTCTAACTGATATCAATCCATGATCAACTCGTAAAAATAATTATTCCCCGTGAGTTCCAAGTGGAACATAGGGCTTCAACAACACATCTCCACCTTTTCCTATCTTTTGCCATTCTCTTAGCGCTTGGGCCACGATTGTCCACAATTGCTCATCCCCTCCTCAGCACAGGATCTCCTCCATGTCACCTTTGCACCGACAACCCACTCACCGCTTCTAATTTGGATTCCACTCGGGCTATGGCCTGGCGCACGATGTCATTCGACGGTCTCCTCAATGTATGCCCGATTCGTCTCCATTTTCTCCTACATATTAATTAGTTGAGCGATTGTCTTTTGGTGGGTTTGTT